CAATATCAATTCCAACATGTCGGACCCTGCCATCACAGTTTTTAAGGCATAGTCACCTGAACGAAATTTGCTGAAACGTCGTTGACACGAACGTTCAAAACATTTCCATAAACTTCTTTGATATTCTCTGTGGCTACAGAGGCTTTGTTTCCCTTCTTGTATTCATATAGCATTACATGCCGAATGTGCGTCTCATCATGTGCCATAACTATAAGGGATTAGAGTATACTAAACTTTACACATTATATAGGCTACACTGACGTGATGTTTAGGTGGTTTGTTTAACTATTATATGTGATGTACAAAATGTGACCTTAATATCTTGATGACCTAATATATTAGTGTTTGAAATGTTTCTTTTGAAACATGTATTGATATTTTTTTGCCATTTTAGCATTCTCTTGTTCATTCGGCACCTGCTACAGTCATTGCTAATCGAAGCCACTACATTACTGAACGAGTCTCACAATCGCTGCCTACGGATGTTTGTCCTCACGGCGTTTGACATGACTAGAGACATGCTGGTGACACCTAAACGTCTCGAATACACTCGTCAAAGAGAGGCTGAGCTTTACTCCTCTTTAATGACAATAGCCAGTAAGAAACAAGAAGAAATAAGACAGCTTATTGTTAACACTATTGAAGGAATGAAGGAAGATTTGCTTGAGGAAGCTACCAATCACCAGTTTCAAGGTTAGAGAAATAACTAAGTCAGTCATAGAAGTGACTTAGTTATATTCCACAACTCATAGAAGTTGTGGAATATAACTAAGTCAGTCATAGAAGTTGTGGAATATAACTAAGTCAGTCATAGAAGTTGTGGAATATAACAGTTGCTCCTGCCCAACATTTATGTACTTATTTAAGCTGATTCTTCAATGTATTGTAAAAACGGTTGTTTAACAGTTACTGAAGTAATTCAATGAATACTGTAACAGTAGTTTTTGAAACGATATGAAGTTAAGGGTCTTGAATTCAGTAAATCTCTTAAATTTTGAAATATTAATGTAAATGAGTAAGACTATGTTTAGAAATAAATTATAATTTTTACTAAAGAAGTAATAACAGTTGTAATTGATATGAATAATGGTTGGTGTAATCTTACACTGATTATTTAGCTTTAATTTCTTTATCTGATGGAATCTAACCTTT